TATATATATACATTTCTAATTACACATTTATATGTACACTTCTTGAACCTTTACCTGCACACTAACCTACCTGCATTGATATATGTGAATAAGTGGAATGACTTCTTTATCTTAAACCAATTATCTTTTTTTAAAATAAAAAATACACCACTTATGGAATCACTTTCTTATTTGTATACTTCTGGTGAATTTTTATTTTAAATTTGTTTTATTGTAAATTAATAATCAACTTTGTAATGTGGCAAATTTTTATTGGCAAAGTTATACATTTCGCCTAGTTCATTTTTCCTAAATAACCATACCGTGGATTCAGTTGAATTAATAAGCATAAATGATACACATTTATGATGTGCATAAAATTTTATTTAATCCAACATAAGGTAAAGAAGCTACTCTTTTATTGTAGTCTACACACAGTTCTACAAATGCACTTCCTTAATACTGGTTAAAAAACAAAACATTACTAGAAGAGTGCTTTAAAAAAAGGCCTCAAGTTTTAAAAACCCCACTCAGGAATAGCTTTCTTTGACTCACTCTTTCCTTGTTACATCATTTGTTTCAAATTGACTATAATTACTTTGAATTAATGCTTTCTTTCTTTTCTTAATTCTAATTTGCTTCACGGTGACATTAGTTTGCCATTTGCCTCTGTGGGTTTTCTTGACATCCTTACTTTGAAGTCCACGTCTGGATTTGAGTCATGCACAGGGGATTTTACTAAACATAAGGTGGTACTGGGGCACAATATGTGAACCACATTTAGTTTGTTTTGGTCTTGCCTGAGGCCTTGATGGGTTGGATTTAGAATGTTTTCTTCAAGACCAGGAAAGACAACAGCGACAACAACTGTTTTTTTCAAACTGCATCTGGGTTTAAAGCTACTGACTTCATTCAAATGGAACCAATAAAATGTTTTACCTAGAACATTTCATTGCTATTGCATGTCTACGAGTTGAGAAATCAAGCCAAAACCAACATTTTCCAGTACAAATACATAGAATTACATGGATTGTTGTTAAGAAAGTTAGATTGTTGTGCTCTTCAGAGATGTCTGGTTTGTCTGATTTTGTTGGGCAAGTGGCATGTAGTTTATTCTAAGCAACACATCTGTACTGATTTCATGATCTTCAACATAACTGGCTTTGTAATATGTGATCATATCTACACATTATTTTTTCCTGCTTTACTCCATGATATTTCCCTCGCAAGGAGTCAGCTTTTGTTGTAATGTTGGATCTTCAGACATTTTGTCATTTAACGGCTGCAGTTTTTTTTTAATTTTATTTATTTATTTATTTTTTAAAATTTGACCAGGAGCTTTTACTGTGCCATAGAAGGCATAACCTTGGGCACGTGCGCAAGTAAAACAGGTCTAGCAACACCCACTGTCTTCACTGATGTGAAAGAAGGCGTGCCAGAGAGAGCAGATCTCAAAGAAAGTGAAAGGTTAATAGTCTGCAGTCTTTAGGATTTAGATAATGTTTAGATAATTTAGATAATGCTTTTTTTTTAATGCCACCCAACATTCACCTTGCAGGTGCTGCTTTTAACCACAGACTGTCAGGTGTCTGCAGCGTGATTTGATTTCCTCTGGTTGACCTCAAAAAAGGAGTCAGAGACATGATGAGCGAATAATGCATTGGTTAGATTTATCATGAAGTGAGTGAGAGGATAACAAAAAGAGAAGACACACACAGTGATGACTCAAGTAAATGTAATTTTAATCAACTTTAATATTTATGGAGGAACATTTATTCAATACAGAAAACAACGCGATTAAACATTTTGCACTTCTGATAATTTATTACACAGCAGAAATACACAAAACAGATACAGATTTACAGAAAACAGTTAATAGTCATTAAACAGAATTTAAAGCAACAGAAGTGTGCTTCCACGTGATAAGAGAAGATAATGTCTATGTGTGATTCTGTTTATGTGTGTGGAAATGAGAACAGTCCCCTGTTCCTGCTGAACTGAGCCAGCCGACGTCACACACTGATTATCAGCACAGCAGGCACAGGAGACCGACCCAGCGGGGGCTGAGGAGAGGCGACGACGGAGGTAAGTTTTCACACACACAGACAGACACAATCACACAAGCATCAGACCAACAGGCAGTGATGCTCTTTTGAAAAAAGAAAAAAAATGAAGAAAAAAAAAAAAACTAACAGGTGGAAGCGAAGGGAAAATGTGAACACAAAGCAAACGTCAAAGAAACACAACACTTGCCCAAAGCGACTCGGTCAGCCCAGCGACAGAAATTATGACATAAGGTGACACTCAGCTCTCCCTACAGGGGCGGCAACAGATTTTACTCTTAATGAGACAGCTGACATTTAGCAGACACAGACTCTCCGATGCTGCTCAGTTTCAGCAAATTCAACAGATTACAGCTTTTTACTGGAAATTTATAGATTGTCAACTCTTTTTCTTCACTGATTTTCCCTCTCCCTTATGATATGTCAGCGTCTGACAATACTGTACAGTGAGTCATCTGTGAACACATGTACTCCATCAAACACTTACTGTCAGCCCTGAACACATGGGGTTGATTTTGAAATAACGAGGTGTGAGACTGAGTTCGGAAAGTTAAAGAGTCAATCTGAGAAAACCATTTCTTTGACATCATAATATTTTTTAAAGAAATCAGATTTAGAATCAGCTTTATTTGCCAAGTTCGAGCACACACACACACGCACACGCACACACACACACACAGACACACACGCACACAAAAGGAACTTGTCATTTTCCCTGCCATACTCAGAGAAGACATTTGAAATATAAATATATAAAAGGCAAAATAAAAATTAAGTTTTTGTCTCTCTTGTAAATATTTATATACAGTTTTTTATATATATAAAAGATGAAGAAATACTAATCAAATTAACAGACATTTTGAGGATTTTCTTATATTTTAAGTCAAATAAGTTTGAATTTTTTTACACAGACTGAAAACAAAATAGGTCAAAGGTATAGTTAAGAAGTTTTAACTAAGTTGGAACTTGGAGCATTATAAGCTATTAGCATCTTAATCGTGGTATTCTCTTCTTTTCTTTATTTCGTATTAATCTGGATAATATGGTCAGAGAGGTTCTAAGACCAAAAGCGAACATCTAACACTTTAGGACAATTTTAAAATAAAAAAAAAAAGCATATCGGTTTAGTGGCGCACTATTTTAAGAATCTTTAATTGGTTGTGATGATTGCATTTTATATCTTGGTTATTTCCAATAAAATATAAATCGAGATAAGAGGCTTTGCACCGTTCGGGATCTTCTTGTATCGAATATTTTCTCTGACTGGAAACACTTTACATGTTCCGTTCTCACTATGTGTTTCACACAGGAAGACCACTGGTGTCGCACCGCCCCTGACTTTCGTTTCTCCTGTAAAAAAAAAAAAACAACTTCCAATGCAGATGTGACGTAAATGAAAAGGTTAAAAAAAATATTTGCATGAACTGCAACAATTTATTTATTTTATTTTGTCGTTGTTGGTAAAAGTCCAGTCTGGTCTTGACCTTTCTCGGGGTAGCGGTTAGCATCATGAACAACTATTCTGTATGTTTACTGCTATATGAAGACTCAACAACTGTACACTTCAGGTAAGATATTTTCTGCTTTAAAACTCTTAACAAAACCTCACTTTATAACTGAAAATCTTCACTTTTGTATGAACTCCTAATATGCTCAGTGACTTTGCTTAGTGAAATGCGTGCAAATTCATCCAAAAATTCTTAAGAAATATATCATTGTTTTGCACCAATTATATTACTCTAATTAGGAAAATTGTCTTGTTTTTAAAGTCATGTTCTCACCTGACTTTGTTTACACCAACATGTAATAAAAGAAAAAAAAACACTTTCATAACTTACAGGTTACGTTAGCAGAGTCCCAATTTAGATCCTATTATTATTATTTTTCTGCTGCTGATCTCTGAGCTGCGGAAACAAACGCGCACCATGACACTTCATTAACAGATGTGAGTAACAGTCGTAATGTTGCTTCTGAAATTTGGTTCCTCTTCTGATCACAGTACCTTCACTCAACCAGAAAGTTCCTTTGAAATCAGAAATCTCTTTTTACAACGAAGACCTGGCCGAGACGACAGCCACAGAAATCAGAGCTACGTAAAACAAATAAATGAGGCACAGTGAGCTAAACAAAAGACACAGTGACCTCTGAGGAAACGCAATGAGAATCCTCTTTCACTACAACGTTTTTTATTTTTATTTTTTTATCTTAAGTCGTAATGCGCTGGATCGACATGTTTCTGGGAAGCTGTTCCATAAAAGGAAACCTGTGAGTTGAATGTGGTTTTAATTATTGATGAACAAGTTAGATGTCTCTGATAATGAGATTAGAGTCTTTGAGGTTGGAAGCCAGCATAGCCATCATCAGATACTCAATCAGATTCAAGTCAGGACTTTGAGGCTGCTCCAAAATTTCTTCAGATCAAAAGAAACATGATGATAAAATGTAAATACTGAAGTGATTACCTTAACCCTAAATCTGCCAGGGACATGAATAATTTTAGACTGAGCTGTAAGTGTCTGATTTGGTGTGTGTTATTTTATATTTTGTATGTTTTTGAAATGCACTTTGGTGCCTACCATCACATAAACATTTTACAGGATGTTTAAAAAAAAGCGGTAGCAGCCTCTTTACGTTAATGTTATAAAATATATATAATTGCAGAGCTCAGCTTATTTTCTGAACCCAGGAAAGCTTAATGAAGCTGAAATTAAATATATATATAAAAAATACAGTTTAGAGAAATAAACTGCAAATTCCACTCTTTTAATAGATTATTTACAGAGAATGCAAAGCAAAACACATTCTTTCTTATATCCAATTGATTTGGATGTTTGCTCAGTCATTTACCTGTAAGTCATTACTTGAAGAAAGCAAAATTGATCAAGTTTGCCATGGCGCATCTACAAATAAAAAAATCAGCTTAAGGAGACGCACAACCTTGCGTTGGCTCTATTTTTAGAGACGATAATCACTAAGAACTAAATGCACAAATGGTTACTACATTCTACTATAATTCACTGAACTAAGTCATTTGTTTCTACCTGATGCTTATTATGTTGTCGGCGTTCTGTATCCAATCCAGTGGTGTTGTTAGAAGTGTGATGCTCATTTGTAGCGCTTGTTGCCCCTCCCTGACCTTTACTCACCCACCTGCAGGCTGCAGCCATGTGGCGGCAGAACTTAACCACTGTGAACATGGCAGGGACTCACTGTTCACATGTGAGTTAAGCCCTGCAGCCGCACAGCGAGGCTTGAAAACCCGCATTTGCCGGGTGTGTTTGTGTGTGAGCATGCAAATGAAAAGCATGGGTGTGTCCATGAATGAGGTAGTAATTTTAAGTGTCTGTGTGTGTGTGTGGAGAGGGGGGATGCGTTCGTGAGAAGGGTGCTGCTTTTCTTCGTGTCAGCCATTGGAAATCCCTGGCAATGTGATTCAGTCCTGTAGTCTCAAAAATCACTCTGCCAGGAATTCCCCTGGCCAGCAGAGACGTCTAGGTGAGTCGAAAAGGAGCTCATCAGAGCATGCAAACATATGAATAATAAACACCAAAATAGAACTCCTGTGTCATTTATACCCTTGATGCATTGTCTCCCCTGTTACCCTCTCACGCAAGTCTTCCCTTTTATACGTCTCGGTGAAATATGAGGTTAGAAGACTGGACAATTCGTACGTGCTATGTATTCATACGTGGCTCTCGTCAGGTTCCCTTGATCTCTTACAAAAATAACTTATCAATGACAGAATGGAGAGTTCGTTAAGAAGGAAGTGGCACGCCCTACAAAGACGTCTTCCCTTTTTCTGTTCATCCTCTTTATCTGAAGTCCTTGTGTGGAAAACTAGGACACAAGTGGAGTTTTCTCTGCTTTCATGTTACCAAAACACAAGTTTCTAAAAGAATGTCATGATATGTTTTGTGATAGTCCTTAAAAAAAAAAGCACCCGTCTCAAGAATACCTGTGTCATATCCCGAGTTCCCTAATTTGTCGTCTTCTTGAAGCATTAATAATCCACCGTCTGCAAGCCGTGAGTCATTGGGACGCGTTTGGGGAACTCCGGACTCTAAATAAGTTTCAAGCAGCCGCTCTGCTGGAGCTCTGTTCCAAAAACACGGGAAGCTTTGGCCTCTGCAATCATCATCACTGATCTGTAACAGTTTCAAAGAGAATAGTACACAACTTCCTCTAAAATTATAATCTACAGGCCAATGCTTTCCAGTACTGCAGGGGTAATGTTCCTTTGTTTTCCAGTTTGCAGTCAAATTTACGCATAGATTTAAGTCACTGTAGCTCAAAACACTGTTTTCTGGGGATTTTTTATTTTTTTTTGCAATACCTTAGAATGGTTTATTACTTTTCTTTTATTTTTGCAAGAGAAACGCAGACGGCCTGAGTATGACTAAGGAAGAATCATCGGTTGTATTCGATTTAGAAAATTAAATTGGATTCGTCGCTCTGGACATTTTACATACTTTCCTTCCCGTGCCAAAGTAGCTCCACCTGGTCACAATAAAAAAAAACAACCAAGGTCACTTCAGGTCCCAGCACCCTTCAAAGGCTGCATGCTAACTCCCCTTTAACTCCTCTCCACGATCAACCTAAAACCCTGCCATCCCTCCCTCCTTTCATCTAGCAGTCGCTTGACTCGCGCTGTTATTTTCCCTGCCTTTTCATCTTTTCCATCGGTTTTTTCCCCCTCTCTTTTTGCTCCCCCCATCGAACCCGCAGCCATTAATGTCTATGAGCTCATTCCTTCCCTTTCCCCCTGTAATGACGGCGTTATTGGGTTGACAAGCGCTGTCCAACACATCACCTCAAGCACTGGCTTGGAGAATCTCAACAGAGCGCACTTTTTTTTTTCCCTCTGCGAAACTGTTCTTCTGCCTCCTTGTAATTGGATGTTTATTGTGGTTAGGAGTAATCATACTGCGCTGGCACGTGGGTTGCATAAATGTGTCAACGTGTTGCATCTTGATGTAGGTGTCGAGTTGGAAAACTTGCATCACCGAGAGATGATTTCCAACAGATGCACTCTAGTAAAGTCAAAGGTGTTTTTGCAGTTTTCCTGAACTATTGCCTTGTTTATAGATTCTTCTACAGTTTAGGGTGTGTAGTTTACATTATGTGTCTGTTCTGCTCTCTATACACAGGATATATAGAGGTCCAAGTGCAGACGTGGCCGTTGGCCGTGTTCCCTTCAGCGCAAGTCCAGATTTGACATTGCCGTTTACACAAGGCCGCATGGTTAAGTGGAAAAGCCTCTGTTGAGACAGCTGGATCTCGACCTCTTGTTGTTTCAACACGTATCAACCCTCCCTTCTATGGCTCGCAGGCCGAATCTACCTCTTCGAGCACAATATGCTCACTATCAGCAAACAAACAGGGTTATGTCAATGGGGCTGCTGGGCAAACATCGTATGTGCTTGAACTGGGATTTCACAGTCTCATAAACGAGTAAAAGTGCAAATGCATACAAATCTGACATGGCTTTCAGCGTAAAATGTAAAACACTTCTCGCTTAATAGCTAGATCTACTTGAAAACTGGGAACGTAAGCCACTGCAACGCACAAATTATCCTTGCCTCCATTTAGGAAATTCACCCACGTCGATCACTGCTACCCCATTTTGTTGCAGTTTTATGTCTTTACATTTCTGTCTTCTATTCTTAAACAAACCATCATAATTAACTTCTCAAACGATTATGTATCATTTTATGTTTTTTCTGTGCAATTAAGTATTTTAAGACTTTCAGGAATAAATAATCATTGAAGTGCTCAAGTTTTACAAAAAATTTAATTTCCTGGCATATTGTTTTTTTTTTGGAAACTTACTTTATGACATTCTATTTCCATTTATTTTGCTCTGATGATTATTCTTGTCAATATCTCATGTGAAAAATGACAAATTAGGACTTTTGTTTGTATCTAAAAAGCTATAAGTGATCTGTTGTTGGTAGATCCAGTTTACTGGAGTCTTAAGACAACAATTCCTGACACAGGAGTATAAATTGCACAGTGGTATGAAAAGGAGGGGTTGCCAATACTAATTATTCCTGGCTACATGCAGTGGGTGGCTTTATTTTATAACTTCAAAAACAAAATCTATAAAAGTATGTATTGGTGAAGGGTCAAAGTGATCGGCCCTCCGCTATACGCTTTGAATAAAGATTCAAATCAGGGCTTGAGCTGAGAACTTAACACCAGAACTCCTTTTCTGAAGAGCAAATATACAATGTTTGCTTTTTATAACTGCTGTCAGATGCATTAAGCTTTTACATGTTCAACCTGTTCAGAATGACAAAAGCCAAAAAAAAAAAAAAAAAAACCGTGCCGACTGAATTACCAAAACGAGTCTTTACATCCCCCAGTTTGACAGTAGACCCTGAAGCGAGGCCTCCGCTCAAGATATTTTAATCAAAAAACATTTGCAGCAGAAGCGCTTGGGAACTGCAGGTCACATCCCTGGATCTTTGTACTTACACACCTTACTCAGCACCACACCCTAGCTCAATCATCAGACAGAGCATGCCTTGGCCGTGCATATGGCCGAGGTTCTGATTTTGTTTCATGTTGCGTGTCAGGGTGTAATTACTTCAAAGGCCGTGACATTCAGCGACATTCGAACAAGGGATCTGGCTCCACAGCGGGCCTGATCTTTTGCAGTTTTCGGGAATCAAAGACAAACAATCACCGCCTGTCCTGGACTGAGTGGAAGAATGTACCACATGTGGGAGATTAGTCGTTTTTGTATTTTTTTTGTTCAAGAAAAGCTTTAAAATGTTGTTTTTGAGTGAAGAACCCAGCCCAAGCTCATGGTCCACTCCCTGTAGCCCTGTGCTTGTAACCCTATCCTCAGCCTGGTTCGTAGCCAAACACCCTCACCACCACCAGCCCTGTACTTAGTGCACAGCTGCCCTGCTGCCACTGAACCGCACATGCACGAATGGCCGCAGAAACGGCACACATACACTTTTATTCCACTACGCCAGTGTTTCCTGAGCCAGGGCCCAGCCATACATATTGCCGCCGGCACACCCACTCACCCACCCAACAACCCCACCAAAGCTTTGACTGGATCTTCACCTTCTCCTCCATTATTGCTCTGACCTTCCATCCAAACATTCAGCCATTCATTTAGCCTTTTACTTAGAACTCCTCCAGCCTCTTCCCTGTTATCGCAAGCCACAATCAGGCACATGAAAAACAGACTAACAGATCTTACTAAATGCGTTTTATCACACTTATCTCATCTGTCCTTGCTGCGTCAGCCTCATGTGAACTTCCTTCAGCTCTTTTTCGTGTCGTCCACAACCCAATTTAGTTTATGTCACTACCCCCAAGAGGGGAACCAGACAGAACGGCGGACAGGAAAACAGACAGACAGCACTGAAGTGCAGCTGAATGAAACCTTGTCAGCTACAGTAGTGGCTGGATTCCCTTCCTTTCATGGAGGTTTCGGAGCTCGCACACTTACAGGCCCTCTGAACAATGAGAGGAATGTTTGAGGCAGCTCCGGCCCTGCTTCGGCACTGCCATGACGCCCTGTCTGCTGCTTTTTGAGAACTTTTTATGACCTCTGTTCGCACTCTGCACTGCCAGTAAAAAAATCAGCCGAGAGAGCGTACACGGACTTGACATAAAAACAGGCAGATAAAGACAGACGGAACGGGAAGGCGGACAGACAAACGGGTAGAAGCTAAACAATTAAGCAGTCAATCACTCAGATGCGTAGTGGACTCTTAAATCAACTGCAAACACAGGCAGCCATGCAGAAAGTTAGCCAACCTATTCAAAGGAAGTATTTACATCTGACCTTTGTAATGGAGCCGCTTCATAGAGGCGAACCACACAGCAGGGCAATATTCCAGTGCTAATATCACAGTACATTCAAACAGCAGGAAGACTTTACACATGCTTTGTCCCGATCAACAGGCTGCAGAAGCTTCTGTAAAGTGCGTCCCTGTCAAAGACCAGTGGTTCAAGAGGGGGAAAAAAGTCAAAATTATAGTCTTTCCAGAGTTATAAAGTCATAAAACAGTAAAAAAAACAAAAAAAACAGACGAAATCCTCAAAGAAGAGGCAGACATGATGCTGCACCCACCTGAAATAACAGTTTTTTTATCCCTGCTCTCTGCCCCAAGTTCATTTGTCTCCAACGTCACCCTGTAAAGTCGAACTTCACAAGTCTCGCGCCTGTCACTCTTTTTGTCTTCTTGTCGACCCGTTCCTCCTCTGGCTGCGCAGACAGGAGCGTGTGTGAACGCGAGTGTGTCTGGGAGCCAGACAGGGTGTGCAGAGTAACCGAGTGGGCGGTTCATGTGAAGGGAATTCCTACTTCTTCACTCATGCACTCATGACGTCAGAGAAGGCACCCTCCCTTTCCCTCTCGTGCCTCTCCTCTCCAGTTGTTCTGTGTACGGCCCAGGCTGCTGCTGGAACACAGGAAAGGGGGCTGGGAATTAATTGGCGCACTGCTGCTAATAAACGAGCAGAGGCTGTTTGAGTCAACAGCGGACAGGAAGAGCGCAGGGATAAATGTGCATGGGACAGAAACACAGATGGATCCGCTGCCGTGTTTGCGGTGTTGGATGAAAGTTGAGAGAAAGTTGTAGCTTGGTTACCTTTTCATTATTGTTTGATTTTTATTGTTTTATTACTTTAAGTCATTATTGAACAAGTTTAAACGCATTTAAAAGTGAGACAAATGAGCCAAAAAGAAAGGATTGCACAATGTTTAGAAAAATCTGTATATTATTGATGAACATTGAAATTATCGTACAAGGATTGACGTAAATCTACATTTTTCACCGTCATCACAGTCACAACAATCTTCCCACGTCACCACAATCCTCCCACTAGCATCTCAAACATAAAGATCCATATCAATTGCAAGCATCAAAAACTGAAATGTCATCCAGTTGGTCAACTTGCCTACAAAGTTTGAAAGCATGACTTTTTAAAATGTTACGGTCCTGTAGATATTGCATCCAATCAATCCTTTGTGAGTGCGAAAATTATCACGTTGATATGGCAATGATGATTTCAGTTTGATTCATTGTGCAGCTCTGCAGAAGTTGATATTAATAACAGTGACTTGCAAACATTTTAATACCTCTTAAACTTTTTTTAAACAAAGCTGTTGTTTGGCTATAGAAAAATATTAATATAAACAGCAGTTTTCAAGAGATGGCTAAGCTAATCAGCTGAGTATAATTTTTGCGGTTTGACTGGGCCAATTTAATACAGATGTGCTTAAATCTAAATTATTCCACTTTATGTTTGAAGTCAATGTCCAGTTGGATGGGAAACCTTTGCAGGCTCTAAAAAAAATGTTTGTATATCTGCATTTAGCGCCATCTGTATATTTTCTCAACTAAGACCAGTTTCTCTGTGCCTGCGAAGAAGCGTCCCCGCAGCACGATGCTGCCACCACTGTGGGGATGGTGTATTTAGGGTGATGTGTGGTGCTATATTTCCACAACACATAACGTTTTGCATAGATTCCAACAACAAGTTTAATTCTGGTTTCACAAGAGTACAGCAACATGTTTCCTGTTTCCCATATCAGATTTTTTGGCAAACTTGTTTTATTTCAGGAAGAGATTTTGCTCGTGATGTTCTTATATAAATGCCAGATTTTAGAGAGCACAGTTGTCCTATTTACAGATTCTGTCACCTGAACTTTGGATTTTATTTGGGCATATTAAAGTGCAATGTGCTGTGTACAGTGATTTGGTAAAATATTTAAAAACCTATGTCACAAATATGTACTGCTTTTATTGGTGAATTAAGTAAAATACCAATAAAATACATTGACATTTAACATTATATCACTATAAAACAAACATGAAAACCAAATGCTGATTGGTCAAATTAGGCCCAAAGATATTATTTAGTGTCATAATTTGATTGCTGTTAATAGAACGATGAAGAAGTGTAGATTTTGTAATGTGCATTTTCTAGAACAGTATTATTTATTTTTGTGAACCATTTAACAATTAAGGTAATGTAGGTATGTCTGCAGCGGTGATAATATTTCAAATAGAATATTTTTTGGAAGAACTCTGAAATGAAAGGCGGTAAGAAGCAGAAAGTGGCAGGACATTTTTCTTTTATTTCAAGATTAGCAGAATAAATTCTGAGATTAATATTTAAATTGAAGATAAAACTGCATCAGGATCTAGTTGCAGCTTTGGATTGTTATTAGGACTGTTCATGAGTCTGTGCAAGATCTGATCGGCACCTGTCAATAACGATTAACACCCACCCCTTCCCGCACACACACACACCCCACACAACACCTATCTCCACAGGGGTACAGCAACACTAGCTTCTGAGAGGGGCTATTAGACATTTTACAACTTCCCCTTCTTCCCCAAAAGCCTCGGGGCGTGTGTGAGAGAGAGAGAGAGGCAAAGTCCTTCGGTGATGACCACGCCCCTGAGCGAGAGTGCGGACGTCACACATTCCACACGCATGCTCGTCTCCAAGCAACGCATACACTCAAAGCTTAGTGAAACAGCCATGCCAGTAAAACACATGACCGCGACACGTCGCTTGTGCTCTGATGGGATAATGTTTTGTTTGTGGATTTGTGTTTCTAAGTTGTCCTCATCGAGGGGATTTACAGCTTTGCATAACAGTCAAAGTTTAGTGAGAGCTTTGACTTTTTGATTGTCTTTCAGCAAAGAATACATGTGGAATGTGTAAACTTATGTTTGATATACAGTAGTGTTTCTTTTTTTCTTCACTTGATCTCTTGTCTCTTTTAAAGTCTGTGCAGCATATATGGGCTTCTTGTTTATGCTGAATAAACTGTCTCTGTGTGACTCAGTTAAACATGGTAGTGCACAAATAAATATCATAATACACACATAAATAACTTGACTGCCATGAAATAAAATAAAAAAAAAAACAACAAAAAACCCAAAAGACTCCAGAGATCAAAACCACGTTACGTGCCGTGCACACTCTCTCCTCTGCCGCACAGACACGATAATTTGCACCGCCACACGCAAGCCCAATACTGTAATGACTGAGATGAAACAGATCTGAAACAGAGACGCTGCTCATCACGAGAATTGTCAAGACTGCTTTCAATTCAGATCAATACCAGTCCTTTCAGTCTGGCTGAAATATGAGACAAAAAAAAAGCTGGTATGAAACTGTAATCAATGCCACATCTTCCAGCTTTTCCACCCTTTGCTTTTTCTTCTACTTTTGTAGACCAAAGTCTAGTGCATAATGTTCTTTCCTGCGGGGAAAAATAAGTTATTTACGGAAAAAAAACAAACCTGTTGAATGAGTGCACTTTGCCTCACTTTTCTTTCTCCTGAACTCTTCTATCTTTATGATAGTGATCAACATTATCAGCGTAGCGTGTTGTATTTTGTAACACCGACTTTCTACGTTTCCTGGAAGCTGTGCAACCGTAGTGAAGACTGTGGGTTATTTTGTCTTGTCATGTGGGAAGAAGTTCACTTTAATTCAAACTACTTCAAAGAAAACCGAAAGATACTCTCCATTGTACAGTGTGTGCTCATTTCTTCAGTGCTCCTCAGTGTACGTTCAATATTTACCGTCATAAATCGTGTCTTTGGGTTTGTACATAAATCATGGTGTATTGTACAGAAGGGGAATTAATTATTGCATCTCTGTTACTATGCGAGCGGTGTATTTGGGGATATTCAACAAATTTGACACGTTAAAAAGTGAGTCACTTACCAAATAACTCTATTCTGGGCTACCGGTCTGTGAGATATAACATATCAACATCTATCTGGTTGTTATGGTGACGCAGTTTCAATTATGCAACAAAAGACAGAAAAAGATATTCTTTTGGCGGTAAGAACATGCTGCTAGATGTGTCAGCTGACCCGAAAGGTACCAGGCTTTCTTATTAAACCAGACTCACAGACAATGGGGCTCTTCTTATGAACATCAACATCTTCTTCTGCAAATAGAGAACAGTTTAAAAAAAACAAACAACTTTTTATGTAAATTTGATTAAAATCTTGAATCTCAAATTGACGAGCAAGCTTTGTGCTTGGTTCTACTCTTATTTCTTGGAGACTTTGAGGTTTGCAGCCGTCCTGCAAATCACCCTGATCTTTATCTCCTCTCGTAGGTTTCCTATTAGATTCATGTCAGATTCATGTTAGGCTGGGCGCCTACAAAATGTTAATATCACTTCAAGTCAGGAGTGTTCACTCCCACTGAAAATCTCCTACATGGCAACCTCTACCTCTGTCTTTTTGATTGCTCCACCATCTCCATGAATCATTTTTGATCTCACTACCATCGTGAAACCCTTCCATTTCCAACTTTCCTGCTAACAGTTTGACACCCTGATCTAATCCCGACTCCACCTTAAACAAACTGTCGCTCCTACCACACACCTCACGGCTGTCTCACTGCCCCTGTACGAGACGGCACCGCCTGCACCACCCTCGAGTACCTCTTCCACGACACCAGACTTACTCACAAAGCACCACGGCTCCTTTCTACGCAACCTGTTTGTCTTGATTCGCAAAGACGCAATAAAACTACATCAATAGTCTGAAATCAATTGCTGCCTCCTGGCGTTAACCCACATTGCTGCATACACATTGTCATCGCTCTTCTTAAAGCTTAACAATACTTTCGTTACTGCACACACTTGTTTTTTTTTTTTTTTTTATAGATATTTGCATTGTAAAATGCAACCACAAGAGAATCCAGCTGGGCGATTTGTGCGTGACTTTTCTACAGGGTACCGAAGTGTTCAGATGCATTTTCGTGAAATGTATTGCTCTGACAAACAGTGGTCACAGCTAATGATGCATACATATCTTTGTAACTTCCTTAGCATTATCAAAGTAGCATTGGCTCACTGAAAAGCTTTGAGTAAGTACCTGTAAAAGCAACAATTTTAGCAGCTTCGTTTAATTGTTATCGTGTTCATGAATCAAGGAGTTGCTTTTTGGAGAAAAAAACCAAAAAAACTCCAACTTTGGCTTAAAGGAGCTTGTGCATAAAGACATTGTCTTATTCTTTTTTTGTGTGCGTGGTGAGTTTGCGTGTTTATATCTAGGTTGGGGGATTTCCAGTCGTTTTCATATGGCAGCTACAGATGGCAGACAGAAATCTCTGAGCTGTGTGACTGTCCTAATCCACCTGTCATTTCTTCATCCCTTTCATCATCCTCTTCTCCACCCTGCATTTAAAGCTTTAGGTTGTTGTTTTTTTTTCCACCCATTTCTTTCTTTTTTTTCCCCTTTTTTTCCTTTAACACCTCCCCCCCTTATGCAGTCCCGGGACATTTTAGGTCATCACATTTCTATTCTTCATCCACGCTGGATTGTTTTACAGGAAACCAATCAAGAAGTGGGTCATTATGTTCAAGAAAAGACCAACTCAGCGTTGTCCAACTTAAAACGAGCCAGTGAAGAGGCTCCAAATGAATCCACTTGACTGAATGGTCTTTCCTTATTTTTCTCTCCGTCTCTCTGTCTCTCTCTCTCTCTCTCTTGCTACTCCTCCTCCCTTACCTCTCTGGTATTATGTGTAGGCAGTTGCCATGGCGACAGGACATACAAACAGTGTGGCGGTAGACAGGAAGTGCTGTGGAACCACAATGGCGTCACTGCGGCTCTGCACTCGCTCTCCACTCGCTCGCCTCTTATCCCCAGCTTGCTTGCATGCTATTATCCTTAGCAAGCTGAACGAAGACCACATTGCTGTCTCTTTTTCTCTTCTTTCTCAACATTATTAGCATTGCTTTTTCAGCTGTCTCTCGCTCTCTTTTTTTTTTGTCAGCATTGCACCACATTAGTGGCGCTGGTGTTTGGAAAATTGCTGTCTGATCTGCGGTGTCTGGAATGTTGGGTGTTAGGTTGATGAGCTGAAAGGCTGTCGAACTGTTTTTGAGCTTTGGCTCGTCTTTAATGCCGGGACAAAAATGCACATAAACATACTGATGTGTTTTGGGATTTTACAGTAACCTTTACAACACATCCACAGCTATTAAAAGAATGCCAGGGTGGTGCATTTGTAGCTTTGTTCTCGATGAAGTGAGTCAAAAAGGGGCTATGTCAGAGACGGACAGAGCTGGGAATAAACGGGAATGTGTGTGGTCCCTGTTGCAGACTCTTACATCAGACTGGCATTTGTGTACAGTGCACATCTCTCCTGGTCTCTTTCTGTCTTTTTACAAATCCCATCCCTAAATATACTCCTCTGGAAAAACCCCTCGAGAAGATACCGCCCTCTTCCACGCAACATGCTAAAAATATCCACCAAGACCACCTTTCCAGCCCCCTTCTCGGTGTGGTTTTCCGTCAGACCAGACTCCTGTCGTTTTGATTGCTGACCCTCTCATTTGTTCCTTTCTAGCACTCAACACCAGTTCATTATCTCACACTATCCCAAACTGTCTTGTGTGTTTAGCCCCTGCTTTGAACTCCCCCCATCTGGCCTCGATCTGTCTGATAGAGGTGCCCCCTGCTGTCCCCAGAGGCTTCTTGCTCTTTCTGCTGACATAAACAACTACTCATCCGCACCGCCCATGCATCCATCCAGGCAGCAGAGCAGACTTCCAGCTAAACCAGTCCGTTGACCTTCAGGCCAGCCAGATGTTAAAACAGGGTCTGTCTAGGGGAGAAACCTGGTGAACAGATGCGTTCCCAGAAAACAAAAACAGAAAACGGGAGGATCTTCCTCATGTCGAGACAATGAAATGTTCACATTCGGATGACGTTACAGTTGTCCGTACAGGTATGAAAACCAATTATTCCAGAGCGTAATGACACAATTCATCCAGAAATGTGAGAAAAACAACGTATGTATGGATACCTACCAGTCTGACATTAGTGTGGAACATTTTCCCGATTCCTCAGTTTTAGATTTGAGTTGGTTGAGTGGTTATGTGAAGCTTATTTCACTCCATGGCATCTCAGACGGATAAAGATTTTTATTCAGTCCAGGATTTTATATTTCTTAATTCTCAGCCAGTTCTTGGTGGATTCACTGGTAAGATTTAGGCCATTGCCATGTTGGTGGGTTTATTTCGTCTTCAGGTTGGACTTGTTTTAACAGATGGTCCTTACAATTGTTGGATTTCAGTCATGGTGAGTTTCTACAGCGTGACGCAGCGAAGCAGCACCGGACCATGACACCGCCACCTCCATCATGGCTGACATGAGGTTATTTTCCTGGAATGTGGTAAAAATACTTTGATGAAGTCAACGGGAAATTAAATATACCTTTGTAGAAAAATAAAAAAAAAAATTTCGTCAGTATATTGCAGTAAAAATTTCCGATGTGGATGAAATTAAATATCCAATTGTCCAAGTATGTTTGGAAAACATGCAAGTTTTTGTAGTGTTTTAATTTTTGTCACATCACGTTTATAGTTTGTGTAAGTTAGCAATTAAAAAAACATAGTTCTGGTTCATTGTTAAAATATTGTCATTTTTATCCCTAGTTCCTCAACTTAAGTGGAAAAAAAATCTTATGAAGAAAATAGTTTTCACAAATATAATCCTGACACAAATGAGGTGTTGATTGATTTAATAGAGAATAAACTAGAGATTAAAGATTTCCATTTCAAGTCATAAATTACAGCTCAGAGTTACTTAACTGGAATTCCTGTGGAATTTTTTTATTTTATTATTATCTTAAGCATCTTAATTATAGAAGTATACCACTGAAAAACTCATCTGCCTGTTTAATGTGCTGCTTAGTGGGTGATGGTCACCCTGAGCAAATTTTCACAGCAAATATCTCGTGCAATCTCTTTAAGCAGTAAAAATAAATCTCACTCTGTACATTTACCGATGTTAAAATGTGGTTTGAAAAAAGCCGAGGTTAACCAAATGGGCTAAGAATCTGTGGGTCAAGGTCATGTTTTTTTTTTTTTTTGGGCTAAATCAAGATGGTGACTGAACCACCAATAAAAAGACATTCATAGATGCCGGTTGATTGGAGGAGTCATTATCCAGGATTCTCAGTAGTCTGATTGTGATCCTTCGCTCTGCCAGTACGAAGGACTCGTCTTCCCCACCAGTTTATCCAGTTGTTTGTCTTTCACATTTATTTACAAAGACGCTGATGATTTTTTTTTTCTTTTTTCCACAGGAAATGGTAGAAGGAGGCTCTGCAAAGCATGTCCTGAGAGGGGAATGTAACCGGTAACTGTGGGATATAAAAGTGAAGCTATATAAAAAAAAAGCAAATATATTAAAAAGCTCTTTGAGTGAACACTTTTTTTTGCTACTTTTCTTTTTATTGTTTCACTCTGACATGAGATGAAATTGCTGTAACCTCCTCAGAAATTGCTCCAATAATTTATTGGTGCTTCATTGTGTCCTGATAAATCGAGTGAAAGTGCCGCCGCTGAGTCTCAAACGTTTCCAGATCAACGTCCTTGATGGTTGCTGACTGTAGAGGACCGGGCATCCTAAAAAAAAAAAAACAATCAATCTTTTTAGTTTTTCAGGTTTTCACCTCCAGGTGGTTAAATTTATGTTATAATGAATGTAAATATCTTCATCCTGTAACTGAAAATGTCTACAATAAAAGAAAAAAGTATCCCAGAACCGTGTTAAAAAGTTACATATCGCATTTGTTGTCTTAACTTGCCCTTTTCAGTGGGAGGCAGGTATTGAGTAAAGAGTAGTTTATCTTGCAAAATGTTTTACTGCCAGGCAACACTTTTTATGTGTACATAAAAAATTATATTGCGCATTCTTAATGTGAAAACCCTTCTGTTAAAAACGACTGGATTGCAACATGTTGCGCTAAAGCCTGACTAAATATAGGAATATACTGGATTTTCCTCTCAGTAAAACCACGCAACATGCAGCATATTCTCAGGGCTGGCATCACTGCTCCTCTACTTTGTTTAGATTATTATCACATTAACTTAATTGGTGACTTATGAGCTCCACACAGCAGCTTCATTCAAGAATGTGAACAGAAACAACAAAAAAAGGAACTTGCTTCATAACAGGAAGGAGAAACAGCAACAGAATAATTCTTGAGAATCCAGACAAAGAGAAGATGACTTAACGTTCTATTTATGTCTGGGAAAAGTAAGAAAAAACAGATTACTGTATTTGTTCAACTGCAGTTTCTGCCCAGCGAGGCAGGAAGCCTATCTTTGACCACATGACATTTCTGTTCCTGTATTCGACGGCTGACATCATCTTCAGTGACACACTGCTCAGTGACTTCCTCCGTCCCGTTAATCACTCGGCCGCTAACAGGCAACGCAGACTCTTCTCGATTCCTGAACCGCTTTTACAGCTCCGCACCACATTCCACCCTCCCTCGTTAGCTCCTCGGCCCCAGCATCAGCCGTGGAAGCATATTTTCCCCAGTTGGTCTCCCCACTTATAGGAGGGACCTCTGACTTCTTTTGTCGTCCCTGTAAAGCCTAAAAATAAGTCTATGCTATGCTTTTCCCACCTGCTGCTCTTGGTTGTGGAGAAGGGGCATCATACATGGAGACTGTTGTTTATACTGTTTGGTTAGGGACAACAGAGTAAATGGGGTTGAATACGCATGTATAATCTCACACCCTGCCAACTTTTTCTGTTTTTCTGTCCTTATAATAATTGCTGTGAGTTGTCTTTATTGACTTTAATCCCTTTAATTGAACAAAGATGATTATGCAGCAATGTAAACTCCCCATTATTCTTTCCTGCTGAGTACAGTTTTTAGGTAAGCTCTGAAGGAGATCAACTAAAGGCTCTATACAAATGCATGCAAAAAAAAAAAATCCCCCAAACAAACAAACAAAAATAACATATTTCTTTAATTTTAGTGTCTGTCTATGAAATAAATCACATTCAACTTTCATGTTGCAATAAAATGCGAAACAGTTCAGGCGGGCTTGAATACTTTTTCAAGGCCTCCTCTCGAAAGTTTATCAACTTCCACTCAAGAATAGAAAAGAAAAGAAAGGAAAAGAAAGGAATGCACCAGCCCACGGCCGTTAGGGAACAGGTGATATTTCTAGCGCGTTATCTGTGTTTAGATAAACTTGACAAGAAGGATCATCAGTCTGGCTCTCTGATTGGCTGCTCCGAGCTGAACTTCAGCCATCCAGAGGTATAGAAAGAGAGCGCAAACAAGGGGAAAGTTCCACATTTTGCAAGAGCTTATTTGACCACTGGACTCTAAGAACATACTGTGCTATTGTAAATTACATAGGGGCATTATTTACGGCTGCAGTATCAAAGCTCCGAGCTAAATTAAAAGAAGATGACTGAGAGAAGAAGGAAAGTTTATAGTCAGCAACATGGAGCGCTGTCAACTTGAAGTATGTCAACTTTTACGATATTGTAAAAGAAACAAAAAGCGCATGCACACGCATATTTGCAGGAAGAATGAAAGGCAGTGTGTGCTGTATTCTGCCTCTCGGTCGAGGTCAGTGGACGCCAAAACACACACTTCAGAGTGTGATTGGATAATGCGCCGTGGTGTGTATACATGCATGGAAATCACAGCCGACACAAAACTAAACCCGAGGACTCATTTGTGAAAACAAATCCAGTCATATATGCAACCTAAAGGCCTTTTTTTTTTTTTTTTTTTTTTACTACGCTGGATTACCAGCCAAGTAGCTGCGGGAATGCAAACCAGTCACAGACCTCGGAAGCGATGAACACCAGATTAATCATCTGTTTGCATTCTCAAAACGAAAGCATTGCCACGCCGCTTGTGTAAAATGAAAAAGTAGAAGAGGCGATAAAACTTTATTTTCCTTTAGGGAAGCCAAATAATGCCAACTTTTACCGCGTAACGAGGCCGCCACACTGAGTGTGTTGGCGTCAGACAATAAATAGGCGGCTTAGCAAGTTAATCCAAGGTGTGCACAAACTGGGTGTGGCCCTGCGCGTTTCCTCTTCCCCCACCCATGTGATAGTTGCTCTTCGGAGAGGGCATGTGCTGCCTGCACTCGCGCCCTCTGGATTCCCAGTTTCCCTTCGCTTTGATCTTCCGTTTCTCTTTCCCCACTCATTTTAACTGGACTCTTATCTTTTTCTAATTTTCCTATTTAATTTCCCCTTAATCTGAACTAATTATCCATCCCATTCCCTTCTCTGAGTGTTTCGTTTTCGACCTACTTGCCCCGTCTCTGTGCATGTAGCTGTCCTTATTTGGCTTCTCTTTGACTGAGTGGGGAGTGAGCATGAATGCGACTGTGTGTGTGTGTGTGTGTGTGTTTCCTCCTGACTGTGACTCACTGCTCGTCTGACTCACAAGCGCTAACAAAAACACAGTTGCCTTGGAGACGCACTCCTTCGCCCCCTGCCACCATTTTTTTTGCCTTTCCCCTCCCTGTCAGCCTCTGGTCTCTCTCTCTCTCTCTCTCTCTCTCTCTCTCGCAGGCATCCCAGGCAGCCCTGGCACTGGTAAATAGATGCCACTCTTGAGGAGGATTAAGGTGCTGAGGTGTGTGTGTGTGTGTGGGATACTGTGAAGGACCAAAGGACGCAGGAGAAATCAACAAACATAATCACAATGAGTCCCAAAAGTTACAACCCTTAAAAACTAGTACAGACTACTTGAATGAAAGTTTGGAAGGACGTAAGAGGGCAGAAAACCTGGGGTTTAAGGCGAGCAATCATCTATCATCAATAGGAAGTTAGAACTGCGTGCGACGACCGAGACAGGCTAAACAGAAAGTGTCCACCTGTGGCTCTATTCTCTGCCTCTGTTCTCTTGCTTTTACTGCTCTGAAATTGCAGACTGCTTTGAACTGGGGCTGTCCTTTGATGTGCTGGTGTCATGGCTCGGCCTCGCCATAACCTCCAGGGAGGTTGATAATGTGGCCACGTGTGGAGTTGCATTTTGAGCAAGCTCAGGTAGGATCCAATCTAACCACAGCCTCATGCTAGTAAAGGTTTGTCCCACTTCCTGGATCTGAAACGCTGATGTTGTGCCTCCTAGTGGACGGATGGTAGCTTATTAGCTGCTGTAATGTGTGTTCTAGAAAATTAAGCACTAAAAGGTAATAAATATGTTTACTCTGGCTGAGCTACTGATTATAGGCACAATTTAGATAAGAGCTTAATAAATGTCCATCTAGTAGCATTTTCTCCTCCAATCGTCTCTGGGCAAAAGTCTTGAATCGTTTTGAATCATCATCTTTTTACCAGGTTGTAATTGTAAATAATTGTTCTTAACTCACCTGGTTAAATAAAAGTTTTTTCTACCATTTACTTCCAATTCTTTGTAATAATTGTCAATAATATGCATCAATATTTCTTATTCTTTATGGTTCCTAAAATATTTCAAAGCTTTTATTTGAACAGATCTGTCATCAAAAGCTTTTTTTTTTTAAACTTATTTTGACCTATGAATAAATCATAAATAAAAGGAAGAATTTGTGTTTTTATTACCAGTAGCCTACTTGCAAAAACATAGTGTTTTCCCTTTTCTATAGATAAATTCATGGAAAATACCTTTGAGACCAAAACATAAGTTATTGGTTTACTTGCATGTAGGGAAGAAAACGAGAGAAACTTCATGAAATCGTTGCCATGCTGAAACACGGCAGTGGCAGCATCATGATGCTATCCAGGGGAGCTGGTTTGGACTTTGCTGGAATTTTGTTTATTCGTTTCTAATAAAATGCCTTTCAGATGCTTTTCATTTGCTACAAATGTCTTCTTTAGGCTGACCGCTGCTGCTTTTGTCCTCCATTTCCTCTATTTTGAAGCAAACACAACACAATATGCTGCTGCGGACAGAAATACAAAAACACCAATTTAAATTAGAACTCTGGTGCGCCTTCAAAAGTCTGAAAGCCACTGTGGAAATGTGTTGCTTTTTGTCACACACACACGCACAAAAAGAAACAACAAAAACGCTTACATTTATAACAAAATTTGTTACTCCATAAGGAGGAACCTGGTGATGCAGTAGCAACCTGACCTCTGACTCAGCCACCGCTGGAGACATGGATCAGTGCCCGTCAGCTATGCTTTAGTGTTGCCCCTTTTGGCCAACCAATTTGTTACTCCTTTGGTTGAAATACGTTCAGTAAGATGCTTCTTGTGGTCATCTGCCAGCCTTTGAAAGTCAGAAGAAAGTTTCCCCCACTCCTCACTTTAAGCTGTGAAATGATTGAAGAGTTTCATTTACAGCCTGTTTCAAATTCATCTATCAGGATCCCAAATCAGGACACGTCCACCTCCATGCTTCACAGTTGTCATCTGGTTAATTTCCAGGAATGTTTTATTGTGCAGCACTTGGAAACACCGGCTTCCTTAGTTGTTTGACATTAATTACAGACATCATGACTATAAACCTATTTCAAATCAATGGCCGCATCCTGTCTGATGCAGATGTTTAAAAGTGTCTGGGGGGGAAAAAAAAAAAATCAACTCAAAACCAAGTCGTGTTTTAACTGCAGTCTTTTCTTGTTGGGCTAAATAGCAAAAATGTGGAACTCTGGTAATGTAGACTTTTAATCTGCAAATACTACCTTTGGGAACACACTACACACTAAAAAAAAAAATAAAATAAAATAAACAGTTTCAGAAGGGCACTTTTTGTACATGGGGTAAATAGCAGGTGTTCTAGCACCCCCTAGTGTCTATCTGTGCATGTCCCTGCTTATAGGTTATTCGGCCCAAGACTTATTGTGAGTGTAAGATGCTAACTTATGGCTGGTAAAGAGGAAATCTATAATATTTTAGCATAAAATAAGCTACTGCAAATAGTCATTTACCATTTAAAGTAAGATAAATAGATATATTTATGCCATACTTAATAAATACTGTAGGTGTCTGCATAAAACCTGAGCTAATACCTGAGAAACACTGGACTAAACTGGAACAAAATCCAGAAAATATGATTTTTTTTTAGTATATCCAAAAAGTTTTTAAACTATTTGAGTGAACCAAAAATAAAAAATAAAAATCACTAAAGCATTGCATATTTCAGAGTATCCAGAATCAGAGAAGACAAAGAGTGCTGACTTCTCTCTGCATTCAATGAAGACACACACAAACCACTGCAAGCTCTCTCACATGACCACAAACCCACTTCTGACCCCGATGTAACCCCTGTGTGTCCTCACAGCAGCTGGCTAGTGGAAGAATTGTGAGAACAGGCCGAACCTGAAACTGTACGCCAACATAATCCTCACTGAGAGGGAGACATAAAGGGGGGGCTGAGAGGAAACGGGAGCAAACGAGGGACAGTGGAACAAAAAAACAAAACAAACAAAAAAAAAACCAATAGAGGAGAAATGAGGGATGGAAAATCCCAAATCCTGCAATCTCCCTGTGAAAGGTGAATGAATGCAACATTTTGGTAAATTCAAAAGAAGCCTTTGTTTCACTTTATTGAAAAAAATGCAACCTGACACATATGTACATCTGTAACACAGATTGCTTTCCAGACTCTGTCAGAGTATAGAGCTAACGCTAATTACCCTAATGCGTTACATGTTTACCTTTTCCACATACAAGCATGTGTATTTCAGCTGTTCCTATATGCATAATAATCCTCTGTAACCTCTGCGGCTAACTGTGTCTTTCCTGAAACCCCTCTGACCTCGCTGTGAGCTTCTCCAGCTCTTCCTGACCAACACGCTGCCATGTCGTATCTGATCTGGTACCAGAAGAGAGTCAGTTTCTGTTAAACTTTAACCTCTGTCCAAAGACTTTTAGTTTACAGAAATGAAATGTTCCGACTCCTACGATAAAAACTGATTAGCTTGAAGACTTACGTGAAAAGAGTAGGTTTTTTTTACAAGACCCGCTGCGCTCCAGTCAATCAGCTACTGATTGAAATCATTCAATTTGCTCTGATTGGGCAGGACTCGAATTGAAATATTCGCTTTTTTTCCTTTTCAATAAACATCAAATCTGAAAGTGTTCACTTTTTTTGGTCTGCAAAGACATCACACAGTAGCTTTAGGATTAGTAAAGATTAGATAAAGTAAAGGTTTTGGTATACCTACAGGACCAATCTTACAATTCTTGTAAATAATTAGCAAGTGAAAACTCAACATCACATTTGAATTTTTGTAAACGGGTGTGAAAAGCCTTAAAATAAATTCCACTCAATTGTAACAGCAAAATCTCACACTGAAATATTCTGAAAACCCCCAATCTTACCTTTGACCCCAGTGGCAAACTTACAGGTGTCCCTGCTTTTAATATTCGGTGCAACCCCTCTCTGCCAATTGGAAAGCACCAATTGCTCTTCTGCCGCAGCATTTCACAAAGTTTGAAGATACACAGTTCACAGTTTTCTATAAAGTTATGTCTGTGAACCGAATTGAAAAAGGAAAAGGTTTGACTTTGTTTGGTAAACCATTTCTGAGTTGATTTGTTTTAGAACATTGTCCTGCTGAAAAAGCCTGAGGTGACCCAATATCCCCTTACTGATGGAGCAATGTTTTGTTTTTGAATATCCAGGCATTTAAAAGAGTTAATGAGGCCATGCACTTTCCAGAACCTCTGGGACAGAAACAGGCAACAATATTTAAAAACCTCCACTGTACTTAACCGGGTATGAGGAGCTTTTTCACTAAATGAGCCTTATTTTCAGGCCTACAGTGTTTGTCACTGGACAGCTCATGTATGCTCTGCATTCCTCCTGTGATCAGAAGTTGTTTTTTTTTCTTCATGTTTGTTGTAAAAAATAAGAACATCTTCTCAAGTTGGAGTAGTGACTGGGAAAGTCTGAACTTGTCACGCAACCCGAAGTTTAATATCCAATATGTCCGTGCACAAAAAAACAAAAAACAAAAATGTAGTAAATTATTTTGGCAAAGACCATTTACTATCACTTCTAATTCAATAAATTGGCGGTGCTGGTAAACTTGCAATTTGAATGTTTTCAACTTGAGTGTAGTTTTACTTTTATCTGAACAAAGTTAAGATTCCCTTTGAGTTGAGCAGCCTTTTTTTTTTATCTCTGATAGTAGGATAGAAATTACTTTTTTTTTTGGTATGCCTCCCAAACCACCTGCTAGTAAGTAGATAGAGTCTAATGGTTGTTATGGAGACTTGGTTACCCAGAGGTCTTTGCTGCGTCACAGGGAATAAAGGCGTAATAATTATGGGTTCCTCTTCAGCCCAGCCCTGTGTTACGACATATTTACACACAAACTCATTCACTGTAAATTGAACTTCATAAAAGTCTAATAAACTTTCGAATTTATTTTAAGGCTTTTCCCACATCTTGTAAAACGAGACTACACTCCTACTGTACTACTACAATCTAAAACTTTCCAAGTATCCTAGTAACAAAGAAAAAGGTGTAGCCTTCACAATCGTATCTGCTTCATAAGTCTAATAATATAAAAGAAAAATAATTAATACTGAATTATTAGTAGAATGCTACTTGGCCTGCAGTTAAATGTTGCCTCCACAAGTTCTTTGACAAACAAATAAACGAACAAAAAAAAAAATGTCTGAACTCATAAAACAACCTTCCCATTAAACCACTTTAATTTAAGTTTCTCTGATTATGCTAATCTCTTACTAGATTTTTCAAAAATGTTTCTCTGAAATATTAAGTGATTCAGAAAGGTGTTTGTTTTGCGATAAACTTTAAAACACATCCTTTCTATGAACCTGGAGCTCCTTCCCTCTTCTTCCCTTAGTGGTCACTCCCTTTGTCTTCAGATAAGGAGATATTGGTGATTAGAGCATGAAGAAGTTCTCTTGAATTATTTTTATGTTTCGCAAACAGGCGTACGTTAATGACAACGATGATTAATGACGATATACTTGACGTAAAAATACACGTAAGACAGAATACACAGCGATGTTTTCTTGGTTGTACATTGTCTGCATGGGATGGAGGTGCAGAGTCTTTCACAGTGGTGCTTCTGCCTGCTTCCTCAGGCTAATTTGAAAAAAAAAATATATATAAACTCCCACCAATCATTCATGTCACAGTGTCCAGTAACCTCTTTAGAAGGCTTTCCATAACAGGAAGCTGCTTGTTTACTCTTGTTTGTGGTTTTTAAATATAAAAAATAGCTGCTATTCCGAGTCTCTCAGAGGAGGAGGCTGAATCAAATAGTTGACTGAGAGAAAAGGTGTTGAGAAAAGAGAAAATGTGTCCCTCGTGTGTCGGGATTATTCTCATCTGAGTATAGGAAAAGCTTCTTATTCAGAGAAGTTCGATTTTTAGGAAATGCCTTTCGCAAAGTCTCGCGAGGCAAGAAACTAAGATTAGAAGTTACTGAACAGCTCGTATTTCTTCATCCAGTCCATCTGTGGCGCCTTCTTCTTCTCCTTGGCATGGATTTTCATCTTTTCCTCCGCCGCCGTGGCGGCGAGTCTCAGGCCGATCTCGGCGAAGGGGTCCATGAGCTGGCTGCCGTCGTCGTCTGCCAGCTGGGCGTCAGAGACAATGAAGTGAAAATGAAAGATCGTGAGGTACGGGCTTAGGGTTCAGACTCTTAAGCGGAACGGCCTGTACGGGCGTCCACACCGACCTGCGTGCTGAGGTCTGAGCGCGTCGACCTGAAGGACTGCGTGGTGGAGCTGCCGTTGACCTGAGGGCTGGGCGATCCGTTGGATATGGAAGGACCGTCATAATCTAGGAACAAGAATACAAAGGAGACAAAACACAAAAGTTTTTTTTATTTTTTATTCCAGTGTTTAAAATTTTGATGTAAATACCCTATCCATTAATTTGTATGCATCGAATTGCAGAACAACGTTTATAACTTGACATAAACTTTTGCAGCTGTTAAAATTTCGGATACGTTCAGCTTTCAGCCTGTCCCACCTTTGACGTGGCTGATCGTGGGGATCACTCCTCTTCTCTTGAAGTGTTCATCCGTTTCTGGATCCACCACCAGCAGCCAGGTCTCGTCTCCCCCTTTCTTTATGAAGGCCACTACCTCTGTATGCCTCATGCCCTCGATGTTCACGCCGTTCACCTGAACAGAAACGGGGAAACGGAGAGATTATTTTCTGTGTGAATGTCAAGCAAAGTTTTGTTTCGCCTCATTTTATTACAGTGCAACCAGAAACTTTTATTTGTGTTTTCAGTACGCTCTGAATAATTGTGATGTGACTGGAAAAGAACACAGTGTTCAAGACGTTTTGCAAAGAAAAACCTGCAAATTATGGAAAATGATGGTGTACTTTTTCATGTAAGCAAAATCCTGCACAACCAAGTATCTTCAGAAGTTGCCAAAAATAAATACGAAAAAGTTTCCACCTCTGCTGATTAGATCTCAGTATAAATCCAGCTGCTGTGTGAAGGCCTCAGAGGTTTGCTAAAGAGCATTAGAGAACAAACTGCATCATAAAGACCAAAGAACACAAGACACGACCATCCATCTAAGCTGAGATGCAAGGAGAGAATTAATCAGATATGCAGCCAGAAGGCTGGAAAATTTTTTATAAAAATTCCCATTTGCTGTTTGACTCAAGTAAAAATGAGATAGAAGATCCTCGGTTTAAAGCATCCCAAAATTTCAGGAAATAGCACATCACCCTGGACACACTATCCCATATTCAGCAAACACAGAAAACCTAATACAGGCAACAAAAGACTTGAGACCAGAGCACCAGATTAAATCTAGACCTAAATCCAAATGAGAATCTGTGGCATGACTGGAGTATTGACTGATGTTCACCACAGATTTTCTTATTTCAGTCTGACTGAGCTTCAGCTGTTTTGCAACAAAGAATGGGTAAAAGTTTCAGTCTGTAGATGTGCAAAGCTGCGAGAAACTTGCAGTATCAATTACACAAAAACCAAGAAATGACTTGAGGGGACTGAATGCAAGTCTCTGCGATTAAAAACCAAACAGAAAACTATGTATTAGTTTAGTTTTATTTATTTAAAATAAATAAAACTAAAAAAAAAAAAAAAAAATCCAATGCAATTCACTGTAGTGCATGTGCTTCCTAACTCATCCACAAGGGGGAGCCATGTAACCACACAGCAATTGCTCATAAAACCATTTTTCTTCCCCCCAAGGAGCATGCACACCATTTGGACACTTTTCTCACACTCTTTGCTTTTAGATTTTACTGAATAACAACAGAACTGATTCTCAGCACTGTTGAAGGAGTTGCATGCAGACGCAGATGTGGCTGCAGTTCGAACATAAAAGGTGAAATGCACAGGGAAAACACAGTTATCTCCCTCACCTCTGCACCTAGCTGGTAAAGGCACCAGGCTTGTTTGCACCTGCTCTTATCTGGACACTGCGTTTCAGTAGCTCCGTCTAGACCGTTGTGGGTGCTCAGCAGGCTGCGTCGCAACACAGCGAGTTTGTGTTGTTGGTACGGCATCAATATTTGATGGCTCTCCTGAGCTCCGGCTTTGGCTCAGGTGTCAGGTGTCTCTTTTGCTGATGGGGAATTTGTTTAAAATTCACTGCTTTTGATGGGGTGGGGGAGAAGAGGATGTAGAAGGAGAATAAAACGTAGCATTTTCTTTAAGACAGAAGGGGAGACTTAAAGACATTAAAGTCTACTTTATGGGAGACTGCATGGGTTGTTCACAGCAGACACATGAAGAAGCAAAGTAAAAGGAAACTAGAGCGAAAGAGGAAAACACTGGGCAACAAATGAAATAGAAGAATGTCAACAGATGGAAAATGTGAACGACTCCTCCTCTCATCCGTGCATCTGTTTTATCCAGGACTCCTTCCATGCAGGCCTTTGGTCACGCAGTGAGACAGACAGACAGGTCAGTACAGAGAGAACAAACATCTCTGTATTGGGCCGACAACAGGTGTTGTGTTGTGCCTCACAGACTTCATTAACGGTCCAACCCTCACTGGACAATGCATCGTTCTCTTCCCGCTCAGTTAATTAATACATGCTGTAGGAACCGTGCACAAGCCTATTTCCCGTGGGATCAGTCTTCAGGAAACCTCTTAATACTCAGTGTGTGTCTGCATGTGTGTGCGTGTGTGTGTGTGGCTTCACAGAGTTTGAACCTGAAGGTACTTTCTCCTTTTTGATGCGGCGATCAAAACCAGAACTTTCCAACAGATCAGCACATCTGCGGCCGTGACACATGAGACGAGAGTGGCTTTTGACCATTTGGCGTCTGTGTTAGCTTCACAAAGGAACAAAGAACACAACAAACAAGCTACGAGAGAGACGACAGTGTTCAATAAGCTACCGTACACAGCAACACTCCTAAACAAACTTATGTTAAATGGTCACCCTTCTCCTTTTCCTATAAATGTGCATAAATTGAAAGAAAACTCTGTAGAATGTCTTTTTTCAGTTTTCTTGTCTGAAACTCTGAAAAAAGGCTACTAGATTTGCAAAATCTTTTAAAAGAAATATTCTACATAAAAATGTAGTAAAGCAGAATTAAAATTAAAATATCAAATGATAGAAGCGAGGACTATTTGTTGGGTTTCACCATCTGCTGACACCTGTAAATGTCTCAGAGGCCGAGGTTAAAATTAGCCCCAGAAAGTGAGAAAGAGAACTGATCCCGGTTATGTTCTACCACGACTTTATCCAAACAAAACCAGTCAGAGAGCAGCAGATTCATGTGACGTTTGACATCAAGCTCAGGTTCTCGGCGGTTCCGAGCACGCTCTGTTGGACGCGGCTACAGCAGAGAGCGACGAGGCGTTCACTGGCGTCAGGGCTTCTGCCAAACATCGGCAGAAAGCTGAGCTGTCACGGTGGCCTTTACAGCGCTCGTTGCTGACACAACTCCGGTGTAATGGGGCGTGGGGAGAGAAAAAGACGGCGAACGGCTGACAGGGAAAGCTCTTCATGGTCGTTCAGCTCTCTAACAAGCTGCTGACAGGCAACACAGGCGATTCTCCAGGTGCACGGTCAGAGACGACTCCAATTATCACAGCATGTACACACGTAAACACGCCATGCAACAGACCCGAGCGTCAGATCAGATTTTAAACACAACTGTTACGTGATGAAGTTGTTAAATGTTCAATTGTCTAAAAATATACATGCTTTGTATTGATAATTAGGAAATGAGCACAGTTAACACTATTACAAGTACAATAAGCGTAACTCTACTATGAGTAGCAACTAAAGCACACATTATTTCAGGCCAGGATTGAAGAGAAGTGCAGCAATAAACGTTTCTGTGGCGGTGGTGTGCGGAGGGTTCGGTGATATATGTGTCACCATAGGACTCTTTGTCCTGGGGGTTGCTGGACTTGGGCTTCACTGATGACCCTTCTCCTTTAAGAGTGTTTGGCTGCTTTGAGGTTGTGCTTTCCATTTATCTACCTGTGGCTCTTGCGTTCTTGCAAAGCTGAGTCCTCCTGTTCTTTGCTGTTCTTAGGTGCTCAGGGTGGAAGGACTTCTCACCACTCTAGTAACTTTGTTTTAGTGCCATAACTTTGCACCTCCAGGTCACAAATTTGCACACACTCAATGCAAGCCGTCCAACCAACCAACCAACCAACCAACCAACCAACCAACCAACCAACCAACCAACCAACCAACCAACCAACCAACCAACCAACCAACCAATCTTCACTTGGACTTTGCATTGACTTCCATTCATTTTTCATTCGTTTCTGTAGCCTAACCCCGACCCTCACCCTAAGCCTAGCCATTACCAGTACATGCCTAACCTTTAACCTTACCTAAACTCAATTCATACCTTCGTCCTAAACCTAACTTCTAACCCAAAAACACCTCTTCTTTTCAAAAGACCCAGACTTTGGGCCTCACAAGGAGCCATTGATCCCCAGAAAAAATGGGCTTTACAATGTAACAAATACAAGTCCACACACTAACACACACTCAAGTCATGCAGTGACGTGTTCCTATGACATTGTTTTAGCCATTTTAATCTGTTTTCTTGATTTAATTAGGTCAATTAGCATTCCATCCTGAGACATCTTGTTTATAGAGCAAATCTGCCCTGGCACATGAAGGCAAACAGCTTCAATAAACGACTGCAATGCCAAGACAGGATGTAAAAAAAACCAAACAATCTATTGTCCTTCTGCTTCTATGGAATATAAACATGCATTGATTATATGAGGACTATAAGGACTATATAATTTCACACACAAAATATCACTCACAGATATTTTTTATCTACAGACAGAAATTTATGATAGGAAAAGCACCAGAAATGACGTAAACACAAATGTGAGCAGTCAGCATACTGACAGATTGATCATTGCTCACACATTCACGGCGCACATGGGGAGTCTCTGTGTCGCCTCAATCTGCTGAAAACGTTGCAAACCGAAGTTAACATGGCCACCAGTGTGGAAAGAGGACAAAGCTGTGTTTTTAATGCGTCTTACTTTCGTAATTTACTTTATTACTTTAGCAATGCCGGGTAATTGCATTCCACGACAGCTTCATACGCTGTTTTCAAGAGCCCACAATGTTCAGACATACTCAGTGATGCACGACAAGTTTCAGAGAGTGACTGAGCTTATGAAAGCCACTGAGCCCTGACAAACCGAGGATCTGTGAGGTCTGCTCTTTAAAAGGTCGATCATGAACGACTGATCTTGTAACTTCCCAGCAGGGGCTCGGTATAGGAGGGGAAAGTGATGACTCCACAATTTAATTATTTATTTTTTGTTCATAGAAATAAAAAAATAAAAAATCGGGGTCCTGTCAAATACAAAATTAATCATATTGTATTTTCAAAGATTGTTTTTAACAGTAAAAATTTAATGTTACCCCCTCCCAGACCAAAAAACACACATCCGTTTTTGCCCTGAACCCCCCTGGATCTGCATGAAATGGTTCGTTCCTGCTTGGAGCGTTTAACAGTAGAAGCTGCAGCTGAATACAGCGGCAACTGTGGCAGTTACTATGCTGCTAAGAAAAGTTATAAAATCAGGTTTTCAAAAACAAAATGGAGAGAAGGAGAGAGAGAATTTATAACCCAGTTTTTCTCCAAGAGAGGTGGGTAGACTGTGTGAGATCATCAACCAGTTTTCATAATTAGCTTAGCTACAAATTACTGATTACCTCCATTTCACTAGCTTTTAATGAATTAAGGAAAAAAATTACCAACATATTCATATATTTAACTTGTTCCCTTGTACCTTTTACCACTTAACAACAGATGAGTCAGTCAGCAGCAGCTCTAACCCACGTCCCACCTGACCTGTTCTCTCCTAAGTGAAATTAAAGCTGCAGTATGTCACTTTTATATAAATATTTTTTTTCACATATTTTTTAAAATTGTCATTATGTTGTGACAGTATGGTATGAGAGGTAATCTGTGAACGATCTATTTCCTCTGCTTTCTCCCAGGATTCTCTAGAAACAACCAGTCAGTGACAGGAGAGTTTTAGTGCTGTCAATCACAATCTCATGTGGTGCTGCTCATCCTTACTCCCTCTCGATTTGTGCCGTGCTGCAGCTAGCATAGCACAGAGCTGTGCAGATTCAAACTGTGAATGCTCAGCTTAGTTAGCATAGCTACCAATGACGGGAGATAAACAGGTTCTTGTAACAATAAGCTGTTTCTCCCCCATTAGCACATTTAGGAGCGAGTGAATGAGGTTGATTGACAGCGCTAAGAGCGTCATACTAGTTCTGACTGGTTGTTTTGGTCAGAACGGTGCTTTACTTTAACCAGTAATAGTAATTTAGGAAGGAGGTGGAGGAGATTGATTGTTTTCACAGATTATCTGTCTCATAACGAACTGCTACAACATGGTGATAACTTTAACAAATATGGAGAAAAGATACTTTTTTATTAAAGTTATGTACTGCAGCTTGAATAAAATGCAACTACAGCATTTTCGAGAAGTCTAGATTGCTTCATGTGTAGTTGCACGTTGCTTTTCACTATTGCTCATGGGGAGAGACATTTCAGTATCTAAAACTTAGAAAAAATTTAAGCAACCTACTTGCATACTGGTTGTGGACAGTTGGATGTAAAATTCATGATCAGTAAATATTGTGCTAGTATCAGTACTGGACCACAGAAAGCAAGGCAGATGCAAGCCTTTAAAATTGTGACACTTTTTCTGGGTCAAATAGATTCAAAAAATTGTAACAACAGCTGCACTGGGGGGCCCAAACAAATTTTCTGTCAGGGGGCCCAAGGTTTCTGGTGGTGCCCCTGCTTCCCAGACATCCAAGAAATGGACTTGTAGAGGAGCCCATGTTTAGAGTCTACTCAGCATTAAGCAACTGGTCATAACTTGTGGCACCATATTTTATTTCTAAATGGAAACATGTCAGAGAAGTGGACATTTGTTGCCATTGGTGACCTGCTGCAGGATGTTCCCACAGATTTTCTCCAGCTAGCTAACGTTCAAGTGAAGCTACACAGCTTAAACCTTCTCTGATTCCAATAAGTATATTAATGTGAATAACAGATCGTCTCAAGAATTACAGTTTTGCTGCACAGATTATTTCAATTAAACACGGCATAGCATCAGAAGGAGTTTTAATTTGAGAAACAGCCATCGGATTGGGCAACAAGCCGCCTTACAGGAGAAAGTCCATCAGAGATAATCAATAAAATATAAAAACTCATCTGCATGTTTGCTCACATAGTGAATTAAACGCATAATTTTTTTTGTACTCTACTGTTAGAGCAGATCGGTATCATGTGTGCTGCTCTTCTGTGTGACATTGGATCCCGATGTTCGGCCCGGGAAGCCAATGGTCGTGGGAACGAAGGGTGTGTTTACTCCGAATATGTTTACGCTCAGATGCGAAAGTGATCAAGTTTCACAGATTTTTGCAATTACAGTTCCTATACTTTTTTTGCAAATTTGAATGTTTTATGACCTTGTAGTTGCCTGTGACATAAACATCAGAGACATTACTCTCCTGCAGCGTATCCCATCATCATCTTTCTTTTTCTAAATTAAACTCTTTGGCATTTTCGACATACTGTCGGTACAACTAAGTCATCTATTTTCTTTTTTAGATAAATGACAGACAAAAATCTTTCACTTTTAGAATAAGTATCTTTTGTCTAACATGGAAAGTGAGCGCAATAACGTCCTTGTGAAAAGTTATTTATTTACAGGAGACAGAATGAAAAGTTCTGTGCAAATTATGCCACATGCAAAAACCAGGAGTGCAAGCAAGCGCACAGAGGGAACCGTCACTTAAGAGAAGTGAGGGACTGCAGTCGTCTCATGGGATTATCTCACAGTCCAACAATTATCCTATTTTACAGCACAAACCAGTTAAACACAGTGTCATTAACAAATAATTATCTTATTATCTCTGGCTTCCTGTCAGTCAAGAGCATTTGTGCTCACAGTTCTCGCTGAGTGTGTTTTGTTGGACATCTTTATCTCAGCATATCATCTCTGCTGTGGGGGATCTTTTTCACTTTCACACACAACACGCCTTCCAGTAAGGACACATAATAAAAAGTAACATAAAAAATCAAAAACTGAATCTGGCTTCACATTTAGAAGTTGAGCACTAAAGAAGTTATTTTGCAAAATTATTTACAACCCCAGAACTTTTCTACATTTGGTCACTTTACAACCTCTATCTGTAATGTATTTTATGAGTATTGCATGAGATGAAACAAAGTAAGTAGCTGTTAAAAAAACCAAACTATTACACACAGTCAGCCAGGACAGGGACCAAGTTTTGGAAAATTTAAAGCAGTGTATGTTATATGTTATAAAACAATAATAAGAAGACGGCAGCCTGCAGGAGCTCCACAGATCCACAGTTCAGGTAGGAGAATATGTCAACAGGACTATTATGAGTTGTGAGCTCTACATCGCAGTCCATTATGGAAGAGAGGCAAGAAGAAAGTCCTGTCTGCAGCTTATACCACAAAAGACCTTAACTGAATTTTATCGCCTGTAGAAAAAATGCTGAAGACTAATAGTGGTGAATGTCATGATGAATTATTCTGTGAAGATGATTTTCTTCTGACCAAAAAGCTGCAAAAGACTCGAAGCAGAGGTTTGCCTTCCAGCAGGACAAACATAGACCCAAAGTTAGATTAAAAAAAAACATATTCTGCCCCAAATCCATTTCAGAATCTGTAGCGACTTTAAAATGTATATTTTTCAGATCTGACTAAGATTCGGTTGTCTTGTAACGAAGACGGGGCAAAATTTTCCATCTTTGGACGGAAAGACGGTGGAGACACATCCCAGATGACTAACAGCGGTAGTGAAAGGTGGTTGAGTCAGTGGAGCTAAATACACAATATACAGATTTTTTTTTACATTTGAGAACTATGCATTGTTTTCTTTTAACTTCACCATCATGAATTGCTTCGTAATACTTCTTGTTAACACCTACGGTGTTTGATAGAGGGATATGCCGCTATAAATCTTCTGTCAAATCTTTCAATGTTGCTTTCTTTCCTTCATGTGTGAACAAACATGAGTAAATAGCAGCTGGAAAGTGTTGCATGCCACTGACACCATCAGCTACGTCTTACAGATACAGCAGCTCACTTCAAGCTTCTGCCTCCTACCTCAACTAGTCTGTCTTGTGGTCGCAGTCCGGCAAGCTCGGCGGGCGACCCCGGGTCCAGGGAGCGGATGTACTGACCGGGCCGTGACCGGTCGCTGTGTAGGTTGAAGCCATAGCCCCCCACTGACCGAGTCAGGTGGCACAGACGTGGAGCGAGCTCAGACGGGTCGACCTGCCGGGGGGGCTGGTCCTGAGGCTGAGACTGAATCTCCACTTCTGTTGAGGTCTCCTGGAAGAAATGTTTGAGAGTAAATTTGCTTCCCATGCCGATCAACACGTTTTGTTTTTTTTTTTGTTTTTTTTTTGTTTTTTTTTTAAATAACGGCTATAAAACATTAATGGCTGACTCTGTGGCTGTATACATGATAATCACTTTCTAGGTGCATTTAGCTGCGTAGTTAGACCGAAATGTGTCATAATGTTTTTACCACTCCTGCCTCTCTGAGGGATGCTTTTACATCTGTAACTTTAATACATCACTCAACTAATACAACCATGTTGATTCACAGCAAAACCACAGAGGAACCACAGCTAAACAGCTACGGAGCCAGCCTCTCTGTGGTAAACAGGGAGAAAGTGGTTAGGACAAAACATAGAACAGAGGTATCTGCAAACAAATTAAAATTTTTCCTTACCTAGGCATTAAATGAAATTTAAGGTAAACATTGCTATAAAATAATGCTGCCCTCTGGAGTAAAGGCGAGCGATACACACTTAAAAGTTGTATCACAATATTTTGTGGTACTATGATGAAAATTGATATAAGAACTATTAATTAATTATTTTGCAGGTCACTATGGCTGCATTACACAACAATCACAGTCACACAAACAGAGAATCGACTCTTTAAAAATATAACACACTTATAATACACTTGTTCAGGACTCCAGACACATAAAGAAGTGTGATTTGTATCACTAAACTGCACACTTATTTCCATATTTATTAATGTTTGTGGATACTTTTATTGTAAATTAAGTGGAGAAAATAGTAAAACTATCAATTTGACAACACAGACAGTTGGAATTTATTGTAACAATAATAAATATATGTAATTTTTTTTATTATGAGAAGAAATGTCTCACAATAAATGATAAAAAAAAATATGATATATGCCGACTCCGACCCGGTAGTATAAAAACTGTACATGTTTAGAGTATTTTTAATGCTCATTTATTAATTTGCTCATTTCAAGAAAGTCATTTTTGACAATGGATAAATGCCTTTACTGTTTAATTAGTGCAATTTATGTAAAAAGAAGGTGCAAAGTAAGCAATGCCTGTGGCGATTTTCAGGTAACAATATAAGCAAAAATTAATGAATTTGGACTGTGTTCTTTGCATTTTAGCATGAAATAATTCATTTTTACCAAATTATGTAGAGACTATTTCATGCAAGATGTCCATTTAGTTGCTGGGTTTTATGAACGTTTTTTTTTTTTTCCTGGAACTTTCCATTTGCAGCATACTGCTGCCAGCTCTGCCAGCTCGGGTGACGACATTTACAGAGTCGGATTAATTGTGCCTGAAGCTCTTCGCCATGATCATGCTGATTTACCACCTACACAGCCGGGGATGGACGAAATGTGGCGTGAGGGGAGGAGGGGGAAGGCCACAGTTTGAGGCCCGGCTCTGAAACCTCAGCTCATATCAACACTGAGGTGCAACACACAGGTTCCTGTAACACTTCACACAAACAGGACAGCACAGATGAAGTGTGCAGATTTTATATTTTATGACAATTTTTTTTTGAGCATATGTGAAGCTTGCTCTGGAGTACAGCTTGTGAAGGCTAAAAATATGTATGTAGGCAGACTGAGAGAAAAAAACAGAGAGACGGAGGTAGAGGAACATGCTAACAAGAGAGATAGTGGGTGAAGATAGTGTTCAATCAGTCATCAATGACTTTACGTTGGCACAAACTCGTTGCACTTCCAAAAAAAAAGATAAAAAATGGAGATACCACCACTATAGTTCAGGAAACACATTCAGAAACATTCTAATTTGTTTCAGGCATCAAATACTTTTGGGAAGCAGGGATCTGGGAAGATTGCCCTGAAATGGAGGAAGACAACAGAAAAATCCAAATCAATTATTCTCCCATGAGTCCCTGCACATCCTCTGTTTCCTGGCTGCAGAAGAAGTGCTCGGGTTGGGCTGTAAGGGTGAAAATAAAACAACTTTTTTTTTCAAATGTATTAGTATTCTGGGATCTGGTTGATGGAGGAAAAAAAAAAAAACAACAGAAAACAAGTGAGAGCGGGAAGCCAATAAGCAAGAAAGGGGAGAGAGTCGAGTGTGTGGGAGGGTTGGAAAATTAGATGCAGCGAGAGGGTTGAGAATGAGAGTTGAAGAAATGAAAAGATCACGCAGAGGCCAAAGAAAGACAGCAGACAGATAAGCAGAGCGAGAGAGAGAGGGAGAGATAGAAGAAGAGAGGAAGAGAGAGAGAGCTGGTTTACGAAGAGAAGTGAAGATGACCGAGGTTTCCAGTAAGACACGCTGGTGAGGAAAAGTGGAGCTCTAATGTAAACACTGAGAGGTACACAGCTGGGAGTCATTATGTGGGGAGACGTGAGTGTCTGCCAGTTTAACCTCTGACTGCCTTTCAATGCGGAGCTGAACCCCACTAATCGCCCCTGTGGGGCCTGTGCCATCTCACAGACTCTGAGCTTGTCGCGGTGTGAGGTTACACTTCACGTTTGTTGTTTTTCTCCTATTGTCGGCTCGATCACCACAAAATCAGCTCAGGTGGGGACCTGATCGCCCCTGACATGCAGCGCTGTGGTGCAGAAGTATTTGCCCCACTGCAGATTTCTGACTTTGCTTGCGGTCACACTTCAGCGATTTAGAGCATTAACCAAACGTTTGGTGCAGTTTCACTAGCCACAGTCGGGCCTGAATACATTCTAACCTGGAGAATTGAAAGATCACTTAAATAGAAGCCATCAGACGACACGAAGTAGGCCAAAAGACGCCGCGGAGGAACCTAGGACAACATTTAAAGTCTTGCATGTCTCACTTGCTTCAGGTACGATTTGTGTTCATGATTGAACAATAGAGGTCCATCTTATGTTTGCCAAAAAAATCATTTTGAGAAACCAAAACAATTTTAGGAGACAAAACTTGAACTCTTGGAAGTTGTATGTTCAGAAAAAGAACATCACAGTAATAAAAAATGGTACGAGCTACTTTGCTACTTTCAGACCTGGATATGCCGCAGTTTGAGACCTTAACATGTGGGTCATGCCGCAGCACAATGATCTAAAACATCACTCATTAAGTCTATGTCTGGGTGATCCGAATGTAACAAAAATAACATTTCGAGTGGCCTAGTGAAAGTCTGAGCTTGAATCCAAATGCGATGCTTATTTTTATGACCCTAAAGATATCATTTCTGCAGCTTAATTAAAACAGTTCTGTAAATAAAAGTGGGCTACAATTCCTTTCCAGTGATGCAAAAGACTCATTACTTAACATAAATGTTTGATTGTTGGAACCCAGTTTAAATTACAGTTTAAACTGGGTCACGTTGGTTTGGAAACATCGTTTGAAAGCTGATTTTACTTTTACTCGGGTTGTCTTTGATGTTCAAATTTGACTTGATGGTCTGAAACATATTAAAAACACAAAGAAAGCTGTAAAGAGGCAAATACTTTCTGTTGTGATTACACAAAACCGTGCTTGTCAAGAAAAACCTGACACAGTGAGACGGACAGCGATAATGATTTCGATGACTTGGAGCATCAACCAGAGAGACTCGGGTTACAGAATAAGCTTTTCTAAACAAGAAGAAGCGTTACGGAACGAGGCTGCTGTGTTTGTGTGAGCTCTGCCTGTTGAAAACTTGGTTGAAAACAGATTCTGGGAGAGAAATATTTTGACTGCAGGAAGAAAAATGACATGTAAAGTTTTCCTCCTTTGTCAGCAAGCCCTCGCATCACGTGGGGAGAGCTTTCGGTTATCACCAGCGGACACTTTTCAAATCAAAGTCCCACATGGGAGGAGAGACAGCAGGAGCTGCTGGAAACAATAATAATAATAATTAAAAAAAAAGCTGCATCGCAGATCCAAACAAGCTCATTATGGAACATCTGCCCGTGAATCCAGCTGCTTTGCTGTTAAGAAAACTACAGTATATGGAATATTTCACGCCCACTACAAAACTAATGTTTTATTTCCAACAATACACACCTACGTGTGCTGACCCCAGCGTCCCGGCTGTGTCTCGGTGAGAGGATGTGCGGTCAATGGAAGTAGCGCTTCCACGAACTCCTCTGTGTCCTGCCACAATCGGCCTTTGTCTCCGTAAGTCTGAGGGAGAACATGTGGGGGAGACCACCACAGACACACAATACCGCGTTTCATTTATCTTGAATATCTTAAAATTGTGGACGGTGTGTTTTTCTTTTATGCTAATTTGTTGACAACGTCCCTTCACCAGTTTGCGACCTCATTTCGTACCGACGTGTATTGCCATTTCGTCCCATCCTGCTGTCATTTTGCACCCCGTGTCCATGCGGTTGTGTATAATCTACCTTCAGTTTGCATTACATCATAAACTGAAGGTTACTGATTAGATCTAAATCTCACTTTCTGACTGGACTGGATGAACGAAACTGATTCAAATTAGATCTAGATCCTTTGAAAAGAACAAGATCTGTCCTGGAGATGACACTTATTAATTAGTGTTTGTTTAGTAGATTAACTGATCTAAATTGAATGTTTACCTGCATGCGTTTACATGTGTATCTTTGCAGCTCAGTGGAGCCGCTTTGAGGTTAAAACGCGAAACAGAGCAGAATAAGAAAACATTGCCCTAAATGCTTAATTTGTGTGCAGCTACAAATACACAGTGTGTATATTCCTCCCCCAGCGGGTGCTGGCAGCAGTTTTGGCAGGTGATGAAACTGGATCGCAGCTTGTTGAATAATTGAGCGCTGGCCTGCAGTGACGGATAGATCGTGACCGCTGTTAACCCTTTCACAGCCAAGGATCGCTGGTTTGATGTTGGCTCACGATGCCGTGAAGTATATGCTCGGGGATGCGAGAGTGTGGTATACTCGCCTTTGATTTGACACAAAGAATCTTCCTTGTATGCGTGAGTATGCAGGGCAACGATTTCAACTTTACAGCTAAACTTTCTCGTGAATCAATCCGTTCGTCTTTGAGTTTTGCGTCAAAGCAAAATGGTTTGCTAAAAACAGACGTAGCCGGTTCTGAAACAAAG